AATAAAACTAACCTGGAGAATGGTGAGGCCTAACTAGCTATTTGACTAGTTTGAACTGTGAGAGCTGTATTCAAAAGTATCTCACGGATTCACGCCAGCATTCTAGGTTGGGATTCTCACTATAGCATTTGACTAATTCTCCATTCAGTAAAGACTGGGAGGTCAATATACTTATTTCAGAAGAGTGGAGAGTATTTTCTTAGACTGTTACTCACAAGATAACACAAGTGTCAGGTTACTTTATCTGCAAATGTCTAAATAATTTTCAAAGTTTACTGTCCCTCTGCCACCACTCTTATATGGATAACACATTTGGGAAAGGGCATCTCTGAACATCCCTGATGTCACATGGCATGGAGGCTCCCAGATATCACTCACTGGTTTTCTAGGCAGCAGAATGCTTCATTTCTTAGGTGTAACCAACTTTGGATGGTTATTACACAACAGTCTAATTTTATCTGGATGTCAGAAGGAATTTTTTGTTTGTTTGTTTGTTTGTTTGGTTGGTTTTTTTTTTTTTTCAGTCTTTTTGAGACAGGGTCTCCTTGTAGCCCCAGCTGTCCTGGAACTCACTATGTAGACCAGGCTGGCCTTGAACTCACAAAGATCCACCTGCCTCTGCCTCCTGAGTGCTGGGATTAAAGGCGTGCACCACCACGCTCTGTGAGAAGGAATTTTTAATCTTTCCTATTCTCTATTATTTGTTAGGCTAACTTTAATAAGAATGATAAATCTGTCAACTTATTTCTAGGATCCTGTTTAGCTAATTGATTATTGTGTTAGCTTCTGTTGCTGTGATGAAATAACTAAAATTAGAGGTTTTGATCATGGTCACTTGGCACTGTGTAGCTTCTGAGCCTGTGCAGATGAGGCAAAGCATCATGTGGGTAGCATGTGGTGGGGCAAAGTAGCTTATATCAGGTAGACAGAAGGCATAAAGAAAGCAAGGACCTGAGGGCAAAGTATACCTTCTAGGTGGGCCAATGAGGTAAGATGGCTCAGCAGGTAAAGGTGCCTGCCACCAAGCTTGGCTGCCTGAGTTCAATCCCAGGGACCCACATAACAGAGAGAGAGAACTCCTGTAAGTTGTCCTTTGACCTAGACACACACACACACACACGAGTTTTATATATATATATATACCATATATATCTTATATATCTTCTAGGGTACTATCTACCCTGACAGGTGACCTACTTCTCTGCTTCTTACAGCTAGGCCCCATTTCCTAGTTTCCATTATTTGCCCAATAATGTCATCAAATTATGCATCTATCAGTGAATCAATCCATTGCTGAAGTCAGCACCCTCATGATTGTCTCTCAGTAGCACCACTAACTGAAGACCACCTCTCAACACATGGCCTTTTGGGGGAACACTTCCTAACAAATTGTAACAGTTGTGAAGACTGTGATTCATATCTGAGAATGCCAGAGACTGTGATTTTTCTTTATAAGTTTTATCAAAAATGCCTGCAAGGGAATAACTCTTCATCTGAGTCACTGCAGACACTTTAAAAACTACTGCTGGAAACAGTTCTAGGCAAAAGCTTATTATTCTGCCCCAATATTAATTATATATCCCATTGCTGCCACCTGTAAAGATGGATGCTCTTGCCAGCTAATGCTGTAAACTGGGGCAAATAATCAGTACAGGAAGGACACTGAAAGTCATCTATCTAGTGCAGGCTTCTATTCTCACCCTCTTATTTAACAATGGTTCTCTCTCTCTCTCTCTCTCTCTCTCTCTCTCTCTCTCTCCTTTCCTCCCTCTCTCTCTCTCCTCTCTAGTGTGTGTATGCCCTCGGGCCAGAAGAAGATGTCAAATTCCACAGAACTATAGTTACAAGTGGTTGTTGGTAGCTAGCTGTGGGTGTTGGGATTTGAACTCAGGTCCTCTAGAAGAACACCGTGTTCTCTTAAAATGTTAAGCCATCTCTCTAGCCCCCTTCACAGTGGTTCTTAGATGTGGCCCACATAGAGGAAGTAACTTATTACATGCAGCTCATTAGTGGCTCAGCTAAGTCTACCCTGTCTCAAGAGGTGACTTCTTGAACATTAGAGATCATTACAAATCAGAGCCTGGTTATCCCCTTTCTTTTATACTCCAGTGCCAAGCCTCGTCATATGCTCTGGTTGTTTGTCCCCCCCACTTCAGTGTCAGAATTAGCAAGGACATAGAGGTTGGGATTGGTAGGAGTGGGGTGGAAATAACAGAAGTAGAGCTGGGCCATCAGGCTCACCTAGGTGGTCAGTAGGCCTGAACGTGTGATCTTGAGTACCTCTAGTCAGGGGTGAGGCCTCACTTACAGGATTTATCCCATGGCTCAGGAAAGAATTGGTGCTTTCTTTGTGTTTCCAAGACCAGGGTCAGAACAGAGGGTCCTGAGCATCTGGGATCTCTGCCTTGTGACCTGGCACCATAGGAGATGGTTTGCTAACTCATTCTGCAGGAGTCACAAGATGCTCTGAGGGACAGTTTTATGAAAGCACGTTCTTTTCTCTCACATCAGACTTTACTTAAAAGTCAAAGGAAGTTTCCCAATGTCTGTTGGATAACTCCAGGTGGGCAGCCCTGACTCTGAGGGGGTAGGGGATAGGGGACCATAAACTCACCTATATGAATGGTTTGAGAAATTTTGAAGATGGTGGAAAATCCCTGGAAAGTATTTGGAATAAGGTATAATTATAACTATGCCTTAGGAAATAGTCATGCCTATCCTCTCACTAAAAAATATCTGTATGTAGAAACTGTAAAATCAATCCAGAAGTTGCAGGGTGGAGACCAAGAAAGGAAGTATGCTGTTTTATCCTTTAACAAAGAAAGTCTGCCTTTGACTCAGGGCAGTCCATCAGCTGCCTCAGAGCCTAGTTCCACTAGAGCTTGGTGATTGGCTGGGACAAGCCAGGTATCACCAACAGAGGCAGCTGATGAAGGACAAGGAGGAGAGGTATAGCACATGCTGCATGCCTGCCCATGTATGCTTCCTGTGTCATCCTACTGGCTTCTCCTTTTTCCTCTTTCATTCAGACTAACATTTCTTGAGCACCTGGTATGCAAGCAGACCCCATTGAGTACCACCTTCCCCCTTCTACCTGGTTTTCCGTGCAGTTCAGTCTTCTGTTCACAATCTACTGATCTTAAGTGCTTCATTCAATGCTTGTTTTGTGAGACATGGTCTTGTCATGCAAAGGCTGGCTTTGAACTTGTGATCCTCTTGCTTCTACCTCTTCAGTGCTGGGATTACAGGTAATGCCCTTCACTCTTAAGTAGTTCATTTGATCATTTAACTCTTTTTTTCTTTTTCCTTCCAGAACATTCTTTTTGTTTGTTTTAAAATGTTAGGTTTCTGCACTGGGCGTGGTGGCGCACGCCTTTAATCCCAGCATTTGGGAGGCAGAGGCAGCTGGATCTCTGTGAGTTCAAGGCCAGCCTGGTCTACATAGTGAGTTCCAGGTCAGCTGGGGCTACAGGGAGACACTGTCTCAAAAAAACCAAAAAAAAAAAAAAAAAAGGTTAGGTTTCTGAATTAAAATATTATAAAAGCCACTTTAAAAAACCCCATGAAACAGTCTGAGCCCCTCTTCTCATTCTGTTCCCCCATAGAATGGGAAACAATTACTCCAGTAATCCCACATGGAATTGTATTGGATCTGGGTGCTGTTACATAACATTTCCCTGAAGGATAACTACTTCCAAATGAAACTTTGTAAAGATTAGCATACAAACTTCACAGCAGGTAAGGAGTGACCTAGAAGAATTGTAGGAATATAGAAAATGCATCCTGAAGGTCTGGGAGACTAGCTCAGTGGTAGAACACTTGCCTACCATGTCCAAGGCCAAGGGTTGAATCTGTAGCACTGAAAAAAAAAAATTAAAGACAGTAAGACAATCTATCCTGAGAAAACATTGGATGCCTGAGTTATGGTCATAAACCACTTTTGTGTGACCTCTCTTACCAAGCTACACAGCTCTTGTTCTTCCTGGGTGATCACCTGCACAATCTCTTGAGAATTCAACAGTTCCAATCCCTGTGGATCATGTGTAATTAGATACAAGGGTTTGAAAATGATGCTGGTTGTTAATAACTTCCCTTGTCTTCCCAGGGTGAAGGCTGCACAGACTGAGTTAGGACAGCAAATTCTGGCTGACTTTGAAGAAGCATTTCCTTCGCAGGGTACCAAGGTACTATTTTGCACTTGCCCTCCAGTCTTCAGCTGTGGTCACTGTGCTCATCTGGCTCATGCTCACTGCACTTACTCATTTGTCATTCCAGAAGTGCCGGCCGACAGAAGCAGATCTGTTGGCCAGAAGGTTAAGCTAATCCAACTAGTCTCTATTTTAAATATCCCAAAGCAGTTTTGTTTCCTTATTTATCTCCTTCCAGCATCAAAAAGTGAGGATTTGGGCCAGGGATGTGGTTTAGTTGGTAGAGTGCCTACCTGCCATGCACAAAGTCCTCAGTTTGATCCCTAGCCTCCTATAAACTGGGTATGGTGATATGTGCTTATGATCCTAGCACTTGGAAGGAGCCAAAGTTCAAGGTCATCCTTAGCCACTTAGTGAATTTGGGGCCAGCCTGGGTTACAGAGACTCTCTTTCAGGAAAAAGAAAGGATTTGTTTTATTTTCATTTAATATATGTCAAACCTTGTATCTTCTTTCCACTATAAACTCTTTTTTCACATAGCTGTGTTTTTAAAAAATTTTGAACCCACAATGTTTTTTTAGGATTGTTACATAACATCGGTTTTAGTTTGGTGAAAAGACAACTGGAAGGAGTTTCCAGGAGCTTATGTAACTCTCTCATGACACACTTCAGACTTTCTTCTAATGATCAGAACCCTATTCTTTGGGATCTTTATGTTCGCTGGTGGTAGAGCTGTGTTGTGTCTGCGAAGCCCCCAGGCTTTCACTTGTGAGCTGTTGATTTCCTGTCTCAAGTACATGACATGGCTTTCCCTTCCTTGGCTGTTGTGCTGGTAGCTACTATTAGTTCTCTCCTTCACATTGTACAAGGCAGATGTCATCTTAATGCTTTGCATGTGTCAGGGCAGACAGAACCCTCAGATGCTTTTTTTTCTATTATTTGAAGTAATAGAATTTCAAAAAAAAAAAGAACTGTTGAAGGCAGAAATGAAGCAAAGCTCCCAGCCAGCAGCTTTTCTTGCCCGGCTTTGTGGGTGGAAGTGGGGATATACGTTCACTTGTGAGCCAAGGAGTGTTTCCTGGATCTGCTCTATAATTCATTAACTGAAAATATCTTAATCACTTTTCCTTTATGCTCCATATTAGGACGTAGGTGGGGATGGCTGCCTGGCTTTGGCAGATTACTTTTAGGAGACAAGCTTCCTATTTTAATGCCCTCATATTTTGCGGCTGACCACTAGTAATCAGGTATTTATTTGTAAAGCACTTTTCTTGAGAACTTACCTTCTTTAGTCACCTGATGTAACCAGAGAAGGCGTAGATGTTGGAAAGCTATTATTTCTATTGACCCTGTGAGGGGTCAATGAAGTTCTAAGAAGCAGGAAAGGATTGTCAGGCTAGATGCTGTTTCTTCAGGCTAGGGTCTGCTTTTGAGCAGTAGAATCTTCTAGGTGTCTGCTTTCCTGTGCTCTGCTGCCCCATCCTGATGCACAACACATTAGAAGGATGTAGGTGAAGGCTATCTGATTATTTACTTATCATTTAACCATGACCTACTTCCTGTCTTTTCTCCCAGATCCCATTAGGCAGATAAAGTTTAAATGGTTTAATGACTTGCCTTCCTTTTCTCTGGCTCAGTGACTTAGTGGGATTTTGTTGTTACAAGTCTTCTTTTTTTCCTTTTTTAAAAATACTGTTGACAGGCCAGGCGTGGTGGCACACACCTTTAATCCCAGCACTTGGGAGGCAGAGGCAGGCAGATCTCTGCGAGTTCAAGGCCAGCCTGGTCTACATAGTGAGTTCCAGGACAGCCGGGGCTACAGGGAGACCCTGTCTCAAAAAGATAAGAAGGGAAAAAAAAAGACCGTTGACTTTTGTGTTACTCTTCCTATTTTCCAAGTTGGAACCAAGTTGGTTTTGTTTGTTTGTTTGTTTGGTTTAAAAGTATGCACTAATGGGTATGGTGGCACATGCCTCTAATCCCAGCCCTCCAAAGACTGAAGCAGGGGAATTCTGAGTTAGCTTGGGCCACATAAGGAGTTTTAGGGCAGTCTGGCTATACAGAAAAGATCTTGTCTCAAGAAAAAATTAATTAATTAAAAATACAAAAATAAAGCATCAAAGGTAATCTAGTAAATTTTTTGTAAATGAGAAAATTTGAACTCCTGAGTCCATAGGTTTTGGGCTCTGAGACTTCTCAGTGAGCCCAAACATTTTCATCCTGAATTCAGAGTTGATCATTCATTGTGTTTAAAGGACAGCACAACAGCCATTGGGAATGGAGCCAGTCATATTTAAACAGTTTCAGTTTCAGGCAGCTTGTGTGACATCTGAATGTCAATTGAGATGGACAGATTTGACAAAAATAAATAATAAGTAAAGCGTTAGAAGAGCCTTACTCATCTCCTGATTCAAGTCCAGTGTTTCTCAGATGAGATAGAGTAACTTCTTCCAAGCTAAGTCAAGAGTAGGTTCCAAGGGTTCTTTGTGCTTTAGAGACCACAGTCAACACATTGATTCAGTGATTTACTATACAGAAGGCTCAGAGAGATCAGGCTGCTTGGTAATAACAAAGCTATTCCTAGCTGATGTATCCTTATAGTCCCTCCCCATTTCCACTGTTCAGGTCAAGGAGCCAATATCACAGTGTTTCACCTTTGACTGTCTGGTGATTTGAAACCTGGATGTAGGTTTTAAAGCTGCAACTGTGGATGGCACAAATATAGCCCTTTGGGGGCTAGAGAGATGCCTCAAGTGGTTAAGAGCCCTGTACTCCTTGTTCTTGCAGAGGACCCTGGTTCAGTTCCCAGCACCCACATGATGGCAAACAATTGTCCATACTCCAGTTCCAGGGGAATCCGATGCCCTCTTCTAACCACGTCCAACATTGCATGACATGGTTGTACTTACATACATGCAGGCAACACACTCATACACATAAGATAAAAATAATGAATAAAATATTAAAAAAAATATATATATAGCTCTTTGGGAACAGGAATCACAGCTGAGCATGGTAGAACATACCTATAATCTCAGCACTTGGGAGGCTGAGGAAAGAGGATCCTAAGTTTTGGAGCTAGCCTGAACTATATAGCAAGACCCTGTCTCAAAGTAGGCAAGCAGGCAGGCAGGCAAACAAACAACAAAGGATCCTAGAAAGGTTGGAAGCAGGAAAAAGTAGCACATGTGAGCAAAACTGACTTTTGGGTCCCTTCAGTAGAATCTCTGCCGTCATTCTGGCTTTTTGGTTCTCTTTCAGTTTTGATAAAAAATTTCCTGCAGTCCTTGATTTGCTGGCCTTTTTTTCTGGAATACTTCATTGCTGATTCACAGTAGTTTTCAGGAACAAGTGACTAAAATATCTGTCCACCTTAGAAAGAATGGGTATCCAGGGAGTGAGAGTAATAGTAGTAAGAGACAAACAAGAATAGCATTTTTCATAGGGCAGGAGAGTTAAAGGTGGTTTCTGACATTTGACATGTACTGTTTGTTTTACCAGAGGCCAGGAGGACCCAGCAATGTCCTGCGAGATGCCTGCCTGGTGGCTAATATTTTGGACCCTAGAATCAAACAAGAAATCATCAAAAAGTTCATTAAACAGCATCTGTCAGAATATCTAGTCCTTTTTCAAGAAAACCAAGATGTAAGTATTGACCAGATGAGGGCAGATGAAATAGTTGAATGTTATTGAAAGGACAAATGCTGCCATGCCTACTGACTGCTACTTGACTGGTACAACTATCTGATAGTACTGAGCATTGAATCCCAGCACCTCTCGGCTGACTAAAGTTTAGTGGTTCTTAACCATTTTCAGGTCACTGACCTTTTCTAGAAATTAATGAAAACTGTAGAACTTCTCCCCCAGAAAAGTACACCTTTTAGGTACACTTTAGGCATACAATTTTAGGAAGTTTACAGACCACTAAAGCCCAAGCTTAGACCCTAAATTAAGAAACATTAGTTAAGTAAATAAGATAGGATGGGTTCTTTTACATGGTGAGAAACACAGAATTTGGTTGGCCTTTTTTGTTGGGTCTGTATTTTCGCTTGTTCTTACTACTTCTAAGTACTGGGATGGTTTTGTTCCCCACCTTCATAAGGTCGCCTGGCTGGACAAAATTGATAGACGGTATGCCTGGGTGAAACGCCAGCTTGTGGACTATGAGGAGAAGTATGGCCGAATGTTTCCACGAGAGTGGTACATGACTGAGAGGATTGCTGTAGAATTTTGCCACGTGACAAGGTAAATTTCAACTGTCTCCTGGTTCTAGACCTGACGGGATATTCAAAACCAACCACACAGTCTCTCTGGTTCCATGTTCTGCAAACTGGGCAGTTTCCAGGTACTACCAAATGATTGGTGCCAGCCTTATACCAACTATAGCCTCAACCTCTGCTTCCCTCTTGGCTCTAGGACTTCCCCTGTGGCCCAGCCCTTGCCTCAAACAACCTGCCTGCCCTCCTTTACAGGTTTAGGGCTCACCACCCAGATTTCTCCAGGGTAATTTATCACACCCACATTTCCCCTGCATCTGTATCATGTGTTATCAGCACACAGTGTGTCCATCCATCATCATTTTGTTTTTCTGACTTGCTGGATCGATAACTCTATTATAGGCAGGGGTAGTCTTGACTTTAATGACATGGCAGACATGAGGAAAAAATTTGTTGAATAAATTTCCTAATATAGTCTTTATATTCTGTGACGTCTGAACATTCTAGGTATTTTAAAGACTTCTCATTCATGCTCTGTGTAATACCTGTGAATATAGTCAAGGGCCACAAAGTCTTATTCAAGAATTACAACCCAGCAAAGTTAGCTCAAGTATATCCAGGGCATATTGAGCCAGAGCCAGACATTTTTATTATTTGTTTATAGTTATACCAAACACTGATGGTAAATGTTTTTGTTATATGTTCCCTTCTAATAGCACATAATTATATTTGACTTCAGGTTAATAAAGAGGAAAAGACCTATTTCTAAACATAAGTCAGCTTCCTTAATATCATTCACAGCACTTTTTTTCTCTTTCTCCTTCTGTATCTGTGTGTCTGTTTGTGTGCACGTGCTCATGCACCTTGCATGCTGGGGATCAAACATAGAGCCTTGTGAATGTTAGGCAAGTGCTCTACCATTTGGCTATACCCCTCTCCCAAATCTTCCTCCACCTCCCTCTCCTAAATTGGAGAAAATACTTTCAAATTGTATACTTTGTGAAACAAAGTGTTTTTTGTGGTACTGATTTTTTTAAATATTTTATTTTTTTTACTTCATTTATTATTTTTATTTTATGTGTATGAGTATATTCCCTGCATTTGTGTAAGCACACCCATGTCATGCAGTGTCCACAGAGTCAGAAGAGGGTGTTGAATTCCCTTGGAACTGGAGTTACGGATGGTTCTTAGCCGCCATGTGGGTGCTGGGAATTGAACCTGGGTCCTTTGCAAGAGGAGCCAGTGCTCTTAACCACTGAGTGGAATCGAACCCAGGTCTTCTGTAAGAGCTTTCTGTAAGTGCTCTAAACCTCTGGGCCGTCTCTCTAGCCCGTGGTACTGATTTTTTTTTTTTAATATGCTTTAGTGTTTAAAGTAGTTTTTAAGTTCACATTAAAATTGGAAGGACAGTACAGAGAGTTCCCTCTAGTCCCTGTCACTGCACACGTGAGCCACCTTCATTGCTAACCCTACTAGAGCCATATGCTTGTTATAGTTGAAACTACCTTAGCATCATTTTCACCAAACTCCATAATTTACCTTAGGGTTTACTTCTGAGGGTATACCTTCAGTATGGCTATTGTTTAAGACATGTGCTGTCATAGAGTTAGAGCATAGAGACCTTTTTAAAATAAAATAGGTAAGTATTGATTCATGATCAGTTGTGATTGTCACTTCATCAATCTTATTAGTAAAGAATGAATTCCTTGAAAAACTGTTTACCACTTCTTTTAGCCTGTAGTTCAGGAGATTTGCTAGGCAGGCTTATGAAAAATGAAGCCCACACTAGACTGGGAGTTTACTACAGATAGCAAGTCTCAGGGAGTCGGCACCTGCTGTTGTCTCAGCTACAGGCAGAGCTGCTGCCAAGCTTTTACTGTGAGGATTTTGGCTAGCATCCTACCAATTCATCATCTTCAAATATACTCAGAGGCTCTTTGTTTGACTTTTATCATTTATTTGTGTGGGAAGATGATGACAGCTTAGTGCTTACTAAGAACTTACCTGTCACTGTTCCCTAATAACCTATATTTTGAAACAGAACACCTGAGTGAGTTGCACACTGGCTCCACAGGCAGGAAGCAGTCAGGCATGTAGTGTCACCTTTCACATGGGGTTTCCTGCTTCTCATAGGCATTTCTAGGATTTTTGATCTGGATGAAAAGATGTTTATTGAGCTCTGGAAGATGAATGGCTTGGTAATTCAGTAATTCATGACTTGTGAAATTATATAGGATATATGTACCTTAATAAAATTCTAAACTTCTGTATTATTAACAAGTTACTGAAAATTTAAGATGTAGATCAGGTGTGGTGGTGCATGTATTTAATCCCAGCACTCACCTTTAATCCCAGCACTCAAGACAGTGGCAGGCAGATCTCTGTGAGTTTGAGGCCAGCCTGGACTACATAGTGAGTTCCAGGTCAGCCAGCATTACATAGTGAGACCTTGTCTCAAAAAAAAAAAAGAAAAGGAGAAAAAAAAAATGTAATAATAATCATATTATCAGATTAGCTTCCGTAATTTTTTTTTTTTTTTCCCTTTTGAGACAGTGCCTCCCTGTAGCCTAAGCTGTCCTGGAACTCACTATGTAGACTAGGTAGGCCTCGAACTCACAGAGATCCACCTGCCTCTGTCTCCCGAGTACTGGGATTAAAGGCATGCGCCACTATACCTGGCAGCTTCCATAATTCTTTGGTTTATTTTTATTTTTTTAATGTATATCAGTGTTTTGCCTGCATGTATGTAAGTGTACCCTTGTCATGCAGTGCCTACGGAGGCTGGAAGGGGCATTGTTCTTCTTAATCTTAAGATACTGTTACTCTGTTATTGTGCCTAATTTATAAATTAAACCTCACTGTAGATACATATTGTAGGAAAAAATATAGCATATATACAGTTGGATACCCCAGAGGTTGAGATGATTCTGTACATTTTTTTTTGTCTAAGTTTAAGCTGTTTATTTTCTTTGTTATATGCTGTATGAGTGATGTTGGACAATGATCTTATTTCTTTATTTTGAAGGACAGAACTTTCAAAGATTATGCGAGCCCGTGCTAAAGAAATTGAAGTGAAATTGCTTCTCTTTGCAATTCAGAGAACAACTAACTTTGAGGGGTTTCTTGCAAAACGTTTCTCTGGTTGCACCCTGACAGATGGAACACTGGTAAGACCTTCCTGAGGGAGCTGGACTTGGACACTGATGCTGGGGTGGCTGGCACGGCTGGGCTCACTGTTCTGCTATAAAGTGATCTCATTCTTTGGCTCCTGAGCCTAAGGGATCCAACCCCCTCAGCTTCCTGAGGAATTGGGACCACAGGCACATGCCACTGTGCCCAGCTTTTAATTATTTTAATGTGGAAAATGGGCCAAATGAGTGACATCCAAACCTTTTCTTTAACAAAACCTGATGTAGAATCCAAACATGACAATGAGAACTTTTTCCCCCAAATTCCTACCATATGTACTATACCAAGCTATTGCATTTACCTGCAATCAATCACTTTGATTCATCTCCTGTAGGAGGTACCAGCTGAATTCATTAAATCTTTTCACAGAGGTCACAGAGCTCATGTGTAAAAATATAAAATTGCAGCTACTCTGATGGAAATAGAATAAGAGTATGAGTCAGACTGGAGTACCACTCACCTGTTCATCTCATCTCTACAGGATCCTCTAGGTCCCAGCCTTCTAGTCCTAAGATCTGGTATTCAGAAGGATCCCCTCCGTGTCCCCATTACACCTACCTCAACCGTCAGGGCATTGGACTGAAGAGTGGTAGTGGCAACAGTTCTGTTTTAAGTCAAAACCTCAAGACACTACCTACTCTAGCTCATTTATGACCTTATTAAAATACAATTAGAATCACAAAACACAGGGTTTTTGTTAGTTTGTCTTTTTGAGACAGGATCTTCCTGTAGCCCCAGCTGGCCTAGAACTCACTATGTAGACCAGGTTGGCCTTGAATTCACAGAGATCTGCCTGCCTCTGCCTCCCAAGTGTTGGAATTAAAGACGTATGCCACTGTGCCTGGCCGACAAAACACAGTTTTCATACTTAAAAAATCAAATATACAGAATCTAAATGTGGTAGCAGAGGCACTTTGGAGGTAGAGGCTAAATGATCAGGAGTTCAAGGTCATTCTTAGCTACAAATTGGGTTTTTGGTCACCATGGGCTACATGAGACATTGTTTCAAAAACAAAAACAAAAAACCCTGCAATAGATAGATAAATGAAATATGAGGACAGTTCTCTGCCTGCTAACTCCTGTTCGAAATTGATTTCTTTTTAGTAAGAGAGGAAAAATAAATAGATGAAAGTGTCCCTAAAGAGAACGGAAATAGCCCGGTTTGGTGGCGCACAACTTTAATCCCAGCACTTGGGAGGCAGAGGGAGGTAGGTCTCTGTGAGTTCGAGGCCAGCCTGGTCTACATAGCGAGTTCCAGGCCACCTGGGGCTACAGGGAGGCCCTGTCTCAAAAAAGACCAAAAGGAACAAAGGAAGGGAGGGAGGGAGAGGAATGAGTAAAGAAAGTGGAGTATACAGGGAATACTATACTAGAAAGAAAAAAATCTAAAGAATTGAGAGATG